AATGAAAATTAGATATGGTGCTTTGCAGCTGACTGAAATAAGTTTCATTTGAATAAATAAAAACTAAAGTAAAACTGAAATAAACAAATATTTTCAAACTAAAACAAAAAAAATAAAGCTATATGGAAATATGAAAACAAATTGAAAAAAAACTTAAAACTAAAATGTAAATCAACACTGAAAATAAAAAAAATAAAAGCTTAATCAAAATATTAATACTTTAATTAAATACTAGAATATTGTACAAATAATACTAAAATAACACTGCATTTCTATGAACAAGGGTTAAAAGCAACACAACTCAGATTGTGATTTAATATCTTCAGGAACATTTGAACAATTTTTCACATTCTAAAAATGCCATTTTATATAATAAAACAACAGAATGTTTATTTTATTATGCATCTATATTGTTGTCGAGCTGAATTCACCTTTAATCATGCTGACATCATTAGCTCCATCACCTATGGCAAGAGTGACTGCTTTCTTATATTTCTTGACCAGCTCCACCACCTGAGCTTTCTGCAGAGGAGTCACCCGACAGCAGATGACCGTCTTGCACATGCAAGCCGTCCGTAAAAACTCCAGCTCCATGTTGCTCTCCAGAGCGAATGCCTAGGAACACAAAGATCCCAAGAGGAAATAAGATGCTTTTACTCTCTGCAGCTACACCCACCTCAGAATTACATTCAGACATTAGGCAGAAGAAAGTACAGAGGAGAAAATACATTTTCTCACCAGGCTGTGTCCATTTATCACCAGTCCGTAGTCTCCATTTACGTTTTCATCCTGAACCACTTTAGGAGTATCACCCAGGATAATCTCAGGAATAAGGAATTTGTCTTGTTCAGTAGCAGGACGCATCTTTAGACAGGCATCTCTTTGCAAAAAAAGAGACCATTTAAATATAAATACAACAGAAATTCTGTGCAAACATACCCAAAAAGTCTAAAAACAGTAGCAGGAAAAAGAATCATACTGTCGCAAGCTACATTTTGGATCATCATTAAAATGTCCCTATAAAACACCCATTTTGTGTACGCCCACCCAAATTTTGCCTTCTCCCATGTGTTTTAGCACTCAATATATGATACATATGTCATCTGCATGAGATATATTACCTCAGCTCCTGTCTGACCTCCTCGGGTGAGTTAGCTGCAATAAAAAACACGTCGTTCATCTCCTCCCTCAGCAGGTTACACGAGTAGCCAATGTTCTCAGCGGTCTCTGTTAGAGACAGACAGACAGAAACAAGAAAGTTTTCAGAGGGCCACTTGGTAATTTATCATTAAAGGAACTTAATTAACAGTCCAGCCAACCATGAACACACACACACACACACACACACACAAATGGTGGGTAATTAGTACATTACA